TCTCTCACTGCGCAGCCTCTCTCTCTCACTGCGCAACCTCTCTCTCTCTCACTGCGCAGCCTCTCTCTCTCTCACTGCGCAGTCTCTCTCTCTCATTGCGCAGCCTCTCTGTGCTCTCTCTCAGTCACTGTGCAGTCTCTCTCTCTCACTGTGCAGCCTCTCTCTCTCTCACTGCGCAGCCTCTCTGTGCTCTCTCTCTGTGATGCTCCTAGGAGACCGCTGGTATTCAACTTGCATATCCGCTCGCCACCCAGCATATCAGCTCCCTTTCCAGCATGGAGCGAGCGCATAGTCAAGCGTCGATCAATTCAGACCATATTCATGCACAAATCCCCTCTCAACTCCCGGCTGAATCTGGGGAGTAAGGCAGGCCACCTTCATTTTCCTCTCTCTAGACATTCTCTGATCATATGTGGACGTCCTCTCTCAGATGAGATACATCTACCACCGTTTTCCCCCCTCGAATAGAACGCATGGCCATTAAAACCGTATTTGCGACAACTTTATCTAGCCACTTCTGACCAGTGGCATGATGTTCAAAAGTCCGTCAATCGAAAATCCGAATGGTGAGAACTTATACGGGGTAGCTTACTCGAAGTAATACAAGACAGATCTTCGATTTATGCCCTCTTTCAAGAGTATCGAGTATATTATCGTCAGCATGTCAAAATAGCACAGTGATATCAACATGTATCCACGTAGCTGATGAGAAACTCCTCTAAAGGATGGGGCATCACTCCTACTGGCGGGAAGATACAAGCCCACATATGAACTGTCTGCCCAAGCCTTTAGCAAATCGACAATCTACCCCCATAACTTATCAACCGTTCCCTTCTCGCAGTCTCGCCACGGGGTTCGTTTTTCGTGTCTACAAAGAGGGACAATCGAGCCCTGTCAGTGGTGATCGTTGTTCCTGTCACACATTTACTCACTCACCTTGATATGGACTCACTCTGTCTCATACCTCCCACAGCTTGCACGTGCGAGTGGACTGTAGATGAATCATTTGTCACGAAACGGCACTAGCGGAATGACCGTTGTCTTGTCCATCATCATCTGTCACCCCTGGTTGCCCGCTGTCTTGCGAGTTTGGTGTCGTACCGTATCCTGTGGCCCCCCAAGAGGTGCGAGCGGAGCAAGGGTTTGACCCCGAGTTACTGTACCAATCCACACGCTCACTTTCTCTCTTCGGTGCACTCTCTCACACTCTCCCCCTGCTTGCGCTCTCTCTCTCCCTCAACCTGTGCACTCTCTCTCCCTCAATCTTACTCACTCTCTCACTCACTCACCTACTTCACCACGGATTTGGGGGAGGGAGGCTCCATCTCACTCCAGCAAGCACGCACCCCATGACTGTAGCTCACTTGCTCACGTGAACAGGCACGTACTATCTCGCTGTGGTTTCCTGTGGTCGCAGACCGAGCATTGCATTCCCTCTGGTCCCTCATTCCCCGAATGTCCCTCACTTTTCCCCTGGTCAACTCTATATCCCGATAGAACTGGAGGATGTCGGCCCTCAGGGAGCACGAACATTATTGGCATTAGCAATATCAGGCTCGGTCCGGAAAAGCCACGGTACCGCGCAGGTAAAGTGGTATCGATAATCGGACCACCGAGCCCAGTAAAGCCCCAACGGAGGCCCCCATTAGCTTAGTTGTAAAGCGTCTGTACCGAACCAGTGCCCATGTCAACATAACAGTGTCGAGCCAGTAACTGTGCGGATCCGAACCGGTGACTGTATCAATCCGATCCAGTTTCCGTACGTCGCCGCTCCAGTGACCGTTCCAATCATCTCGTCATTGAACTGTAGTGTGTACCTTCGCTGTCCCAGTGACCGTTTCATCTTAGCTCTGCCACAGTAACCTGAATCCAGTTCCATTGATCTGAAATGCGACTCGATGACCAAGTGTCCTCCCGAGTTCTCTCGCTACACTCGGCGTGCATGAGACTCCAACAAGACACGAGTGTCGCACACTCAATAATACCCGGGTTATAATAAGGGTGATAATTAGGAAAAATCCAGTAAAATTTGGTGAGGGATAATAAATAGGGAAAATTCGTTTAAATGAGCGAGTTGAGATAAATAGGTAATTCTTGTTAAAATCTTCGGGAGCAGATTTGGGTAAAATTTGTTTAATAATAAAATAATCGTTTGTTCCCTTTTCTTTTTTTCAATTTTAATTTTATTACCCATTTTTAATTTTATCATCACATTTAATTAAATTATAAGGCCTCATTTTCTCATCATCTGGTCAGCGTAGGAAGGCCGCGCGAAGGCTTACCAGCATACGCTCATTCCATGGTTGGATGATTTGAAGACAGCCTCGGAACAGACGAAAAAGGTAAGCGTCGTGCGTGGTAGAGGCCGCTATCCAATCATCAAATTTTAAGGGCTAGCATCGGCGGTTGATGAAGGGGAATTCAAAGTCCGTCTCAGGACCTCTAATTTTTCCAGACACTCCCGACAAGGCTACCAAAAGAATCCCGTTAATGCACTCTGTCAAAGACCGAACTCCCTTTATTTCGGGTGGTTGACTACTTGTAGCTGCTTGACACCGGAACGACCGTTGCTGATGTGCACTGATATAACACGTTTCGAATGTTTTTTCCACGTCACTCACCCAAACTGTTCGCACTCAGACGAAAAAGGGACTTCTGTTTGATGACGTGGAGTGTGAAAATGGTGTGATATTTGCAATCGATCAACCGTTTAAGTGATCCATTTTCCTAAGAGTTTGCCAGGTTTGCCGACCGACATGGACAACGACATGTTTCTCACCCTTCTGTGACCAACCGCCTCCTCGCCATTGCATTGCATGTTTGAAAACTGAAATGGTTTGATGGAAAAATATTTGTGTCGAACACAACACGAGACATGAAATCACGGCAGCTCATATCCTCAAAATCCAGGGCAATATTCAAAATTTGATTATTACAAAGGACAACCGCAAAACAAATCAACCATTGCATTCAATGACATGCATGCCCAACTACATCTTCCACATCCACCGCTTTCGAAATGAATAACGAAAGACAGAAAAACACAGGAAGTGATAAAATTTCGTGAAGATTAAAACCCTGTCCAAATACATGAAAGTCACATGTTCCGTTGTTTGCGGTTCACTGCCTTCTACTCTAAACGACTGCTTCAAGCTACCCAATCCTCGAGGAACGGCCGCACACCAGAAAGAGGTGAAATATAAAAAAATGTAAATTAAACAAAGTTACGAGACACGGGCACTTCCCGTCGTTGAAGACCGATAGGCAAACAAAAACCTGTCGACCCGCCTGAAAGCCAAAACACGTGAAACTATAAAAAGAAGCCACAGACGACATCGCTGATGTAATGTGGCACATTCCAACCTACCATCCCCGTCTGCCAACAAACGTGTGGCGTGCCAACAGGCCGACGACGCACCATCCCACGAAAGGCTAATCATCACGTAAACAAACCATACAGCACCACCCGCCCCAGCGAACGTTGCTCCTCCGTGATTCCCCCCCACACTCCTACATCAATCCCAACCGGTCTCGAAGTGCATACCGCAACAGGTCCCCGTCGACGTTCGTGCATCGTTGCCGCCCCTGCATGGCGTTTCCAACAATAACCAAGTCCACTCTACGTCGGACGCCGTTGTTGTCGACCTCCCAGAGCAGGTTTTGGTCGAGCTCAATCCCCGTATCCAAGAGGATGTTGTGGAGAGTGCAAACACAGACAAATTGTTGCGGCAAAATCTCCAAGTTCGTTTTGTGGGTGTGTAGGAATAGACGCTACATGCACTTCAACCGCCCGAAGGCTCTCTCCATACAACCGCGCCCCACCTTCTGCCTCTTGTCGAACCGCTCCTCGTCAAGACCTTGGTCGATTCCTCCATACGGCTGGATGATCCATAGATAGGCAACTGGGTAGCCATTGTCACCGAGAAGGTAACCTTGCGTGACGACCCTGTGTGGCAGATTCTCCGGAAGGGCGTCGAACAGCTCCCCGCTTTCTGCGCACCTCCAAAAATGGGAGTTGTGCAGGACACGGACATCGTGCACACTACCCGGGTATCCGATATGGATGTCAAGGATATGCAAATCCAAATCCACGACCACCTACGCTTGGACAGAAAACTCTTGTTTGCGGTCGTAGTAGTTATCTGACAGCGGGCCGGCGGGCTTGTCAATGTAGATCTGCGTGCAGTCGATTGCGCCGAAGCAGTTGGGGAAACCTTTCTCCCGGAAAGCGCGCATAATCTGCACACGTTTCCGCCCCGTAGGCCACTTGATCGAATCAGGGTACGCCTTCAACAGCGCCGAAGTGACGTCGTGGACGACCCGCAGTCCAGTGGCCCTGCCAATGCCGAAGGATGACGTGCCGCTCTCGTAAGTCTCCCCGGACGCCCACCTGTAGAATGTGAAAGCAATCACCTGCTCCACAGGCAATGGCAGCCTGTAATGTGTCACCTTCTTCTCCACGTGCGTGGCGCATGCGGCAACGATCTGCATGAAGACTGGGTTGGACTTACGCAACTTCTCGTTGAAATAATCGTCACTCGCATCGTCACGTACGAGAAGATCCTCCCAAGTTCCGCCAATCCTTCGTTTTATCCACCATCGCGGTGTCTCGCGCGGGAAGACGCCGGAGGAGAGCACCGAACATAGTTGCACAACCGCTTCAAACGTGGCCATGTAATCCAGCGCTTCAAGCACGCGTTGCAACAGTGCTCTACGCTTCCGCAATTGCACACGCATTTGGCGCTGTGTGGACGACCTGTTGCTCATCGTGTTCAAAACAACGGCAGTCACCACCAACGCCACCGCCTCCCTCTCTTCTTCACTAAACGAATGGCCGCTGCCGCGAACGTCCATCTCCGTCGCCCGTTCAGCTCTAACGTGTAACGCCTGCGATCGCCACCGCAGAAGAGGCTGCTACTGTTCCCTGCCAGACGACACTTCATACGCCACAGACGACTTCGCGCATCGGCGAAAGAAGGCTCTCTACGACCAGGGGATCAGCAGCGCTGTCTTTTCTACGTCCTACACGTTGCCTGCCCGTCCTCCTGCCTGCCTCCCTGCGTCCGCGAATGCCTGTCTCTGTGCGTTTTTCACCTCCCCGTCATGAACCGGGCAGGGCCCACCGCCCTCTGTACCACGGACACGAGGCTGCAATGGGCGGACGTCGTCGGTGAGGCGTCGTATACGTATATGAAAACTGGTTGCTGGACAGTTCCTAAAATTATTTCTTTAGGAACGTGTGTAACCACACCGCAACAATTCCTAAAATTCTTTTAGGACTCATCCTAAATCTTTAAGGAATCTTTTATGAGTGTCTAACGAGACCCTTACACACCTGACAAATTTTTGGCTACCTATCAGATGTGAGAGACGAGAAGTAAAATGCAGGATCTCAATACCAACTGAGCGAGCACAGAGAGAGCATCGGCTGAAATGAAGAGATTTACAAGTAAAAAAATGTCCCTCACTCCCTGAGGGAATAAGCAAGCAGTCACATGACCTCTAAACTTGAGAGATGGATGTAGAGTCGTATAGAACCCTGGGAGGCCCTAAAAGCAACATAACAACCAAACTACAGACTTGTAAGTTTGCAAGTCATTTTTTTTCTAAAACTAGCATACACTCGAAGGCAGTTAACAAGTTACTCATGTTGGCGTAGACTATTCTCTTGTGTATAGACCTGAGAGATTGTGGAGTATCAACATGAAGTAGAAAAGAAACAATTGTTGGCATGTAAGTCTAGTAAATAAAGTGTTTGTGATTGAGTAATATCAACAGAGTGGTTTCAACTTTTAAAAATATAGTAAAATTTTAAAGGATTGGGAGAGGGGAGAGGAAGACGGAAAGAAAAATTAAACATAATCCCTGATTGGTGACACCTAGGCTTGCAGTACGTATGTGTTGATAAAATACAAATACATACAAGGCTTTGGTTACACCATATGCTATACCAGACAAAATTTGCATGAATTTGGTCATCATAGACACCAGCTTCATGCCAAGCAAGCAAAAGATAGTAGAGAATTTGCCAACTGAGCACAACAGAGATACTGAAACAGTCATACAATGCCCACACAGAAGTAAAGAAAAGGATACCTGCTCAAACAAGCCAAAGCCATGAAATCCCCCATGGAAAGATTTGCGATGATCATGTCGATGATTTCATCCTCAAGAACCCTCAGATTCCCAAGCGCTGCACTCCTGCTGTCTGTTGGGACTTTTCGTTCTTCTACAGGTGGAACTCCCATAGCTGGAAGGAATCCCTTACTGGCAGTTGTGCATCTTTCTGGGCCCATCTCTGTCATGATTTGCAAGGGCAAGAAATCCCCTACAACTTCTGGCACTGAAGAGGAGACGGCTGGGTCTTGGAAATTGCTTAGACACGAACTTCTATAACCCTCATTCGATCAGCAAACAGTTTCGTAAAAACCTTGTATGGCTTACAGCTTGGGTCATCAGTCAATGTCAATAAATGAGCAGAGTTTCTTCAAAGCCTTGCGCTACACGAACTTGGAGATCAATGGTCACCTATTTCCTGGATGTATGAATGGAAGAAGTAATACGGACTTTCTGCATGAGAGGGAACACCGTGAGAGGAAGAAAACGATTTGAATAAGATGCGTTTACAGGTGAAAAGTCCGAACTTCTCGAGGTCCGCCCTTTCTTCAGTTGGTCGGTTGGACTGACGATCCGCCATCCAAAGTGTTTGTGTTTTTTTTTTTCCCTATCTGCAGGGTTGGGGGCTGATTTCTTACAAGGTAGTGGTGGTTTAACCACAAAGTGAAAAATCCAAACAGCCAACAACAAATGAAGGAAGAGGTCATTAGACAGCATAGTGTACAATGATACAGCGTGTACAAATTCCTAAGTCATAGTGATAAAGTCTCAAGAATCGAAGTACAGGTCATCGTCTCTGCACACGAGCTATGGATACGTCTCACATTTACATTTATGACTTATTTCAAGGTCACGGATCCCTTCCTCATCAACTTGACAAATACTGCTCCCACCAAGTTGTAACACTCACTTCCCCCCAAA